AAACAATTAGTAGTTTCAGCTTAGTTTGCAGCTAGTATTTCAGTTTGAATACTGACTTGAGAATGATAAATATTCAAGTATCCATGCATTACAAAAACAGCAAATTCACCTGCACAGAATTCTCAAAATTTCTGTTTAAAAGTCTTGTGTATGATTTAGTTGGTAACAAAGGGATGAGATATCATCACCAATTTCTAGTCTGCAAACCCATGAAATACTGGACAGGAGCCCTTACAATGAAGTGGAAACTCCTCTATTTTTTCACATTCCAAACAATGAACTTACTTAGAATTTTGTGCTCTACATCTACCCCTACTTAACTGCTGAAATTGCTCTGTTACTTCAGGAAACTTCTATACTCTTATACATATTTAGTGCATGTTTTCTATAGACTTTTTATTTGCTTACCAAATAACAGCATTGAAAGTGTACAAAATTTTTTCAACACTGCAAACACACATCTTGGTTTCAAGAATTCTTAATCACTGCAAAGATTAATGACCAAGTACACATTCACTCATAGTTCCACAGGGAACAATTACTCTTTCCCATTAATGAATAATGAATAATTATTCAGAAGTTTGGAATGTGGTGCTTGAGTGTGAATAACCAATCACCCAGAGACTGTCCATTATCTACTTATCTGATTAAGAACAAAAACATTAACAAGTAATTAAGCTAGAAAATTATTAACGGTGCAATACATTCTGAGAAGAGTGGTGAGGAAGGATGTGGAAAAAAACCAGCATCTACAAGCAATATCAAAGATACTGCAGCAGAGACCATTGTCCTCAGATGATGTCAGGAAAAAGTACAAGATGTCACAATAATCTTGGTTTGTCTTCATTATATCAGCTTTGTTCTGCCACGAGCATTCTGAAAGGATAAACAAGACTCCCGGGTTTACCTTCCCAGAGCAGCACTGCCTCTTCACACAATACCAATCCCTGGCCAGTTCTCAGGGAATTTTGAGATACTTTCATTACCAGCACATTTTAATCCAGCTTAGTCTACAACGAACATGCGCTACATTCACATATACTGAAGATATTCAGAGGACAAAGCCAATAGAGAAGTAACTTATCTGAGTTATATCGTGGAATTATTAGTTCTTCCGCCTACCCAGTGGGAAACTGTTCAGAACTATGATTGAACTCACACTTTTCAGTGATACAACCAAACCCAAAATCGTCACTGCTGAGGTAACGAATCAGTCAGCACAGGCAGGCCCGGCGGGACAGCGCGTTTGCTGCTCTCACTTCAAACCAGGGCTTTCTCCTGGGAGCACGCATTGCACAGGTAAGGATCGCAATGAAAGCCCTCAACTGCAAGTTCCAGCTCAGCTTTCACGGGCTGCCTTCGAGCACTGCGCCCAGCGCTCATCCACACAGAGATACCTCCCGTCACCGCCGGGACGGAGCAGGCACGGGCACGGAGCTGGGACACCTGGGGTTTCATCCCCAGCCGCGATGCAGCTCCCAATGCTCACACGGGAAAGCGTTTTCGCAGCCGAAAGTGGGGGAAACGGTTTTTTCCGCCCTGCTAAGAGCGGGGTGAAAAAGTTGCAGCGCTCCGGGAAGGAGCGAGGTGGGGTCGGCTCAGCGGGGCTGGGTCTGCCCCGCGCCCCGGAGCTCCGCGGCGGAGCTGGCAGCCCTGTCCCGGGGGAACCTGGCAGCCCCGTCCCGGTGGCACTGGCGGAGCTGGCAGCCCCGTCCTGGGGGACCTGGCAGCCCTGTCCTGGTGGCACTGGCGGAGGTGGCAGCCCCGTCCCGGTGGCACTGGCGGAGCTGGCAGCCCTGTCCCGGTGGCACTGGCGGACCTGGCAGCCCCGTCCCGGTGGCACTGGCGGAGCTGGCAGCCCTGTCCCGGCGGGGCAGCGCAGCCTCCCGAGGGCTCGGGCAGGATGGGCGAGGCCGAGGACTTCGCCCGCTGCCCCTCTGGGCGCTTTCAGCTCCGGCGAAGCCGCTCTTGCACAGGCTGCACAGCGGCCAAAGGGTGCGTTCCGGGGGGCAGTCCCAGCCGCGCTCCTGCCCTGCCTCCCCGCGGACTCTCCCCGCAGCCCGCACTCGCCTCCCGCCGGGGCCCCGCGCTCCCAGGGACCACCCCGCGCTCCGCCCGCCGGGCTGGGCGCGGCTGCCGAGGGTCGGCGGCAGCCCCCACACGCGAGCGGCCTCCCCGGCCTGGGCTGAGACAGACGCGGCCTGTGGGTGCCCCGACCTGCGGACGGGACCGGACAGACCCCTCTCCCTCCTGCTCGGGCGGCCGGGCGGGAGCGGTCCCGGTCCGGTTCGGGAGCCCCAGAGCGGGGTCGCGGGCAGCCCCGGAGCCGCCGGAGCTCACAGACACGCTTGTGCACGCAGGAGGAAGCGGCGAGGTAAGTCGGCTTGAACGCTTTCAGCCCTGGAAATGAAACTTACCACAATGTTTTTGAAAGTGAGTGAACTTTCTCCCTAGCAGGAACGAAGGGAAAGTTAGCCCAAAACATTCTGCAGCAGATACATTTAAACCTGTTACACTACCTGCAGCAGGGCAAAACAAACAAACAAAAAGCAAGATCTGCTTTAGCCTGAGGAGCTCTTCCTCCTGCCTGTTACAGTCAGGCCTGACAGCATTTGGTGGTAACATCCTGACAAAGCCCCATTGCTCTGCTACATTATGTGTTGTCTGTGCTGTGGACATCTCTGGGAGAGGGTCATGATTTCCATCTGCCAAAGAGAATATTCCTGTTTCTCCTCTGTCAGCGGAACAGGCAGTAAGTGTTTCAGGCACTCTCTTTGTTTCAGGATCAGTTTAGAAGAAATGGGGTAGGACAGTGCTCATGCAGAGGGACCACTGAAAGAGAGTGGATGTGAATCTATATGGCAAAAAGAATTGTGCATTGAAACTAGTCTTTTACTCCATTGAAACTAGTGTTTTAGTCCATTCAGTCAAAACGTGTGCTAGATTTATATTAAATCAGACTGACTTAGTTTTTGACCTCTGCACTTCAGAACTCAAAAGCACCAAGGTTTGTGAATCATCTACACACCGACTGTCAAAGTCACTTGACTGTTATGGCCAGGACATTGCTGACTGACTTCACGCCCAGCTCTCTTTACAAGACAAAAGTTCTCTCAGGTGTCATTCTGCCAGTCATCTTCCATTTGAAGTAAAACAACAACAAAATGTGAAGAAAACTGCTGCAACATTTAGAAGAGTTGGCTACAAAACTGTAGTTCCCTACTGGGACAGAGTGTCTTTCCCAGATTATCAGAGCCCAGGCCTGTATTCTACCGACCCCCTCGCCAACCTGGTGCTCCTGCATCAATAAAGTTCTGTGGCCCACCAGTTCTGCAGGTAAAACACAGGTATTGCAAAACCATAACCCTCTTCCTCACAACCAAAACAAGTAAAAAACCTTTCTGCCTTTGCATCCTCTGCTGCATCCCAAGAAGCTGATAAAACCTTTTTCTTCAAAAAAAACCCCTTTAAAAGATTCCCCCTGAAAAAAAAAAAAAAAAGCAAAAAACCAAAACAAACACCTGACATGTCCCCATCTTCAGCTGGGAACAATTTCAAGTTATCCATGTGAGGAGAATCAGCTGTGTGAACTTTAGCTTCAGACATCCCCAGCATCTTTTTTTTTTTTTTTCCTTTACAGAACTAATTTTTATCCATGGTTGGTTGTTCATTCAGGAGTTTTGGGGTTTGTACAGCCCCAAACAAGTTTATTACAAGTTTTCTTAAGAAAAGTCATAGAGTTATGCTTCTTCCAATCTGTTTCCCAAGAGTAAAGGAACATACTTTTGCAAATGAATGTGTATAAAATTGTAATTGTACATGGAAAATTTTAACATCTAGCAGCAATTTACACCTAATTTTGTTACAGAGGATTCAGTGTATTTCAGGAGAATTCTTGCTTATCTCTCTGCTGGGCAGTGCTGGAAGAGATAAGTGTAATGGACTCTGGATAAGTTGCTGTCTCTAGAATACAGGACAACAGCTTAGACAGAAGTCATGGGCCAGGGAGAAATGTTATTTACAGTCCAAGGACACCCCATTTCACTAATGGTTTAGACCAAAAGGAATGGTTTCAGGGGGAGGGAGCAGGAGAAACCCTTCAGGCTGGCTAGCAGGATCAGTACCTTTGACACACAGAAAATCTGCCACTGAGTCCCTGTGCCCAAACCAGTGCAACACAGAGCTAAACCTGTGGTACTTCCAAGGCTCACAGGCTTCTCTGAAAGTAAAAAACCTGCCATTCTTACTCAGCCTAAGGATCTGGTGGCATTAGATTGTACTCTTGCAGGATCTGCAAGATAGAATGGCACAAGATAGAAAGAAAGGTAAAAAAGCGCAGATGAACAGATCTTGCCTTTCCCTATGTTAGGAGACACTGCTGCAAATCCAGCAGTTTTCACCTTAGGGATATCTGGAAATGAGTTTGTTACACATTTGTTTTGTGGAGACACTTTCTGGCAGAATGTGCAGTGAGCATACCCATCATTTCCCTTGTGAATTGTCTTGTGTGATATCACTGTCACAGAATCACAGGGAAGTTTATTAAATTGTTGTTGTTCTTAAAGTCTTGCCTATTAGAGGTGGATAAAGAGAGACTACAAGGAATGCAAAAGTTTCCTCCTCTTCTGGGTTTGGCAAATACTTGAAAATGTTCCTCTCTATCAGGAACCAGAAGCAAATCAAAATCAGACTCCATATAATATAGGATAGTATATTTGACTGCTGCATAGACTGCACTAAAAGAAGAATAAGACTAAATAATAATAATTAATAAATGAATAATAATGAATGAATAAATAATAATAATGTTTACCTGTTTATTGCCATTGTTGTTAAGTTTTTGGGTAGTCCAAATGGGTAAAGTATACCACTGTCACCTGAAAATGACTGACATTTTAGAGATAGTAATGCTTACATTTTAATTAGTATTTTTGGGGTTTTTCCTAGGGTAAAACACTGGATTTTTGTCAGAAATTCTGCAAGAGTGACTATCAGTAAAGATGTCATATTTAACGAAAGGATTTAAATGTCACAGTCCTGTGATGTGCAAAGTGGCAGGAAGCCTGTTTAAAGCACACGCGTTAAAGAACGCGTTCGGCATCAACGAACAATTCAAAATTTCCCGTGCCTCATCCCAGCTGAGCTCAGAAAAGGCAAACTCTTATAATTACATCATTGTGGGAGCTGGCTCAGCAGGCTGTGTGCTGGCCAACAGGCTGACAGAAGACCCGCAGAGCACTGTGCTGCTTTTGGAAGCGGGCCCCAAGGACACCCTGCTGGGCAGCAAAAGGCTGATGTGGAAGATCCACATGCCTGCTGCCTTAACCTACAACCTGTGCGATGAGAAGTACAACTGGTGCTACCACACCGCTCCGCAGAGGCACATGGAGGGCCGGGTGATGTACTGGCCCCGCGGCAGGGTGTGGGGCGGCTCCTCCTCTCTCAATGCCATGGTCTACATCCGCGGGCACGCCGAGGACTACAACCGCTGGAGCAGGGAGGGGGCTCTGGGCTGGGACTATGAGCACTGCCTGCCCTATTTTAAGAAGGCACAGACACACGAACTGGGGCCGGATCAGTACAGAGGTGGGAACGGCCCCCTGCACGTGTCAAGAGGGAAGACGAACCATCCTCTCCATCAGGCGTTCCTGGAGGCTGCCCAGCAAGCCGGGTATCCCTTCACAGATGACATGAACGGCTACCAGCAGGAAGGCTTTGGCTGGATGGACATGACTGTACACCAAGGTAAACCAGAAAGGGGTCCTCGAGTAATTTCTATTTCTGACCAGAAGTAATGTTGAAATATGGACATGCAATCTGCACTGAATGCCATTTGAGTGTTTAGGTTACTACCCAGCTATGGCACTCTGCATTTACACCCTATGCATTTCTCAGCAGCTTGCTCTCTGTACGGTGAAGTTCTGTATACTTCATTGCAAGTTGCACTGGTAGAAAAGTCCTGATCCACAGTTAAATTATGTCATTGTGAAATTTGTTATGTTAAAATAATATCTTTAATTGTTATATCAAATCACATTTGCTTTGAACTCTATAAACTCTATGAAGACTTTCTCTCTGTAGGCATCCTGGTGGTTATTGGCCAAAATCTGAAGCATACTGAGCATGACTGTTTTGATGTTTAATATAAATATACATTGTAGGTCAAAGATGGAGCACAGCTAGTGCTTATCTTCGCCCAGCCATATCACGCCCAAATTTCTCAGTTGCAGAGAAGACATTTGTAACACAAATCTTGTTCCAAGGAACAAAATGCATTGGTATTGAGTATGTGAAAAATGGGCAGAGGAAAAAGGTAAGAGATTTTCCATTTCCAGTATGAAAGGTATGAATCAAAGCTAAATTATAGATTTTTTAAAAAATGTCTATTAAAAATGTTCTCTTTTTTTTAGAGGTTAGGTTATATACAATATATGACTCCTTGTTGGTTATTTTACAGTAGGTGATATTCCAGTTGTATTGATTTAGAGATTAACTTCATCATCACATTTCCATCTCCCAGTGCTGAGGGGACAGGCCATAACTTGGTGTTCCACAGAGTGTTGTGCAAGACTGGAGCCTGTGGTGCAACCGTGCCCTGTCCCAGCACATTGACCAGAGTGCTGCAATGGGGATGTTTCTGAAAAACAATTCTGGCAGAGGAAAATCTGTAAAAGCCAGATACTGAAATGTGAATGGCTCAAGGGATAAATCTTGCCTTATGGTTGGCTGTGGAATGAATATTTCTCAGTTTCAGTCCAAACCCAGTGAAAATGTGATTGTGTGAAAGGAAGGAATTGTCATTACAAAACTCTGGATAATTTGTTCATATTATCAATTGACTTTCAATCCATTGACTTCTGTAAGACCCAAACCATCCTCACTTCCCTTAACAGCTGATTATGGATTAGTCCATAACCAGGATATTGCCTGAAAGGGGTTTGTGTGCTAATAACCTAAGATATTTGGTCACAAAGGACTATAAAACAATTAAAGAGTGCAATAATAATATCCTAGAGAGAGCTGAGTACAGATCTTGGTGGTTTGAGTTCAGTAACCCTTGTAAAACTCAGCAGATGAGTTCTGTGACTGAGCACCTGCCAGAAGTTAAAATGCAGTATAAATAATCTGTTCTTTGATTTTCTAAAGCACAGATCAAATCTGCTGCTTTCTAGGTGGATTGCAAATGATAATCATTTTACCAATATGAAACAAAAGTTGCAGAACCTTTAACTGAATTTATAAGCTATTAGATTTCTGTGAAAACAGTACCTCTAATTACTGTTCTTGTGACGTCATCAAGATCAGTTTTGTTGAAGAAAGTCTTGAAAACCCAGTTACACATGATCAAAGACTTTCTGAATACTGGATCATTTAATTGCAAAATTCTTTGGTTGCTGTGAATTTTCATACATACTAATATAAGCATGAATTCTACATACTGAAAAATATATGTTTATATCATGTATTGTAAAAAATACACCTCCAAAGTATTTCCCTTCCTTCATTCCCTCTCCCCTCCCTCCCCCAACATCAAAACTGCAGGATTAGTGTCTGTTTTTACTTTCTGGAAAATGTTATACCTGTCAGGATGAAAGAACTAATAATTTTATTGCATTATGACCATCAAGATGAAGCAATTGACTACATTAAAGTGTTTTTGTTTTTACAGTCTATTTTAGATATAATCTGTTTTACATCAGTCATCAGCAAAATGAAAAGATCATCAAACCTGATTCAAAAGTTATTCAGAATGTATTCACCAGCCAATGAGTTGTTATTTGTCTAACACTGAAGTCCTAGAGATCTCCCAGGTCTCCAGTAAAACTAGGAAAGGTAGACTGAACATTCCTGGAGTTTTTAAGTCCAGAATTAAGCAGAAAAGTGTATTTATACTTAATATGTCATATAGACGATGAAAATGTTTTAATGTATTATAGACTAACTCAAACCAAAGTGTATCAAAGTCACTTTTTCCTCTTAGCATGTTAACTGTGACATTATGGAAACTTTGTGTGGGCTAGGAATAACTGCAGTGCTGACTTGCAGGGGTTTTAGACTGAGCAAGCATCATTTGAGTGTTGCTCTGAACAAACTGGTACAAGTTCTGTGTGTACCATAGAAAATGTAAATAAGCTAAATAAATTTGTCTAACATGCAAAAAGCTCTAAGTATTGATTCAACATACTCTGATACAGTGTTTATTAGTCTTAACATACTAATGATTGCCAGAGCAAAGCAGTAACAAATAAAAGGTTACAGCACTGGCCATCTGTTGACCATATTGGATAAACAGTGTGGAAATGCTTTTTATTATTATTACACTTGGATGTTACTGTAGCAACATTTTGCCATCTCTCTGTATAGCTGAGGTGTCATTCAAAAGGACAGGATTCCAAGTTAGCAGGCATTCCTTGCTAATCTGTTAAAACTCCAAGTCAAAGGAAAAGGAATAATTTAGCAGCCTGTGTCATGGCCAGCTCAGGGCTCAGACCAAACCATTTGATGAAAAGACTGTCAGAAAAACAAAATTCAATCTATAGCTGCTACTATTTTATCAGTAGTGCTTTAGTGAATGGTGGGGGTGGGGGGGGCTTTTGAGGACTACCACGAGCTAAGAAATCAAACCTTAGCCTTGGTTGAATTAAAAAAAAATAAGCTCCTGATAACTTTTGAGCTACCATGTCTGTGAATTCCAAATCTTCCTTAGGAGTTTCAGTTTTAATTTATAAAGGGTTACTGAAAATGGCAGAGAAGCTTAGCTGCCTGATCTGAGTGCCACAGGTACTCTTCCCCTGGCAAGCAGGACAGGAGCTGAATGTTTCTGTGCCATACATTTTGAATGGATTGTAAAGATGGGAATAAATACAGGAATGATCAAAGCAAAAGCTTGATTGCTTCTCTCTGTGGAAAATTCTGACAAGACAGGAATACATTTAAATGAGGAAAATGTGAGGGAAGGCTGTCTAATCTGGATCAGAACAGCATATCCAAGCAGCAGCCCCTGATGTTGCTCACATTCAGCTCAGGCTTTATAATCTTAGGGCTTTTGTGCTCATTTCCTTTTAGGTTTTTGCCAATAAGGAAGTTATTTTAAGTGCAGGTGCCATAAATTCTCCCCAGCTGCTTATGTTGTCTGGAATTGGAAATGCAGATGATCTGAAAAAACTGGGGATCCCTGTTGTTTGCCATCTTCCTGGTAATTTTTTTTTCTTTCTTCTTTCATTTTCCTGTGGATTCAATTGAATGACCACTAAATTAAATTAATCACAAAATAGTTTTCTTTATGTCAGGTTGTGTAGACTGAAACACACGTTGAAAACATATTTGTTACAAACGAGTGGAAAGATGTATTGATTTTATACAAATCAGTGGAAACATGCATTGATTTTACAACTAAGCAACAAACTCCTACTCTTTCTTCACCCCATTTGACAGTGAAAAATGCCTTTCTGAAGGCATATTTTTATAATTAAGTAGCACACTTGTCATTATTAGTTTTGATCCACTACACATGGTGTAAACTCCCACTGTCATAAATATTCAAATATAGAAGAAATAACATGAACTTTTCCTCAAAGCTAAAGTTAGCACAGTATTTAGAAGCAGTGGAAATTTTAGAACAACTGATATATCTGCCATTTAACTTTCTATTTTCATTCTAGTTATGCTATGTTTATGTAACACCTTATTCTGACACGAGCAAAAGGCTGATGTGACTCATGGCCTTGGTCTGTGTCACCACTGCCCTTGTAAGAGCTTGGTTTAATTCCCACTTAAGATGTTCTCTGCTTGAAGTGTGGTGGGTAATCTTTCTGTATGAAATAGCCTTTTTTTTCTTTTTCCTCTCACTTTCTTCTCATTCCCACCTTTCTACCCCCTGCAGGAGTAGGCCAGAACCTGCAAGATCACTTAGAAGTGTACGTCCAGCAGAAGTGCACCAAACCTATTACTCTGTATAGTGCACAAAAGCCACTGAACATGGTGAGGATTGGTCTCGAGTGGCTTTGGAAATTTACAGGTATGAAGCAAAGCATGCAATCATTCTACCACTGACTGATTTAGAATTATGACAGCCTTTTATCCTTGAGTTTTATAGGCTGGGAGCCTTAATATATAATCCTTTTTATGCTCTGAGAAATAAATGGAATTTGCAAATGGATTTGAACTATTTCTTTTCTTCCATACCAGAATATTTTAAAGTTTTTATATCTTAGGTAATGAAGGAGGTTATTATACACCACTTTTAACATTCCTATATCACATGCAAAGAAAAATTCTACATTTAAAAATCAGTGCTGCTAAGAAAAGCTATTGCAAAAAAAGATGGAGAAAATATTCTATTTTAAATCAATGTGATATCAATAAAAACATATTGTTGAACTCACTTCTGTATAACTGTCTCAAAAGAATTTGTTTGTTGCTCTGATCAGAATCCTTTTGTCCTGCAAGTAAATGTGAATTGACTTTCCTTAGAATGACACATGAATTTTACAATACCTCAGTCATAAGTTGTACCTTAAAAAGAATCTGTAAATATAATCCTTGATGGCAGTCAAATAGCTTGACCAAAGTTGAGCTCTACATCACTTGCTGAATTATGTTATTATTTGGCAACTTATTCTGGGTATATGTGGCTTTTTACCATGCAAGTAAATATTGAGGGCCAACTTACAGTTTTAAACAGAAATGAAAATAACATAAGGCACATTGCAGGGCTTTCATCTTTCCCTACAAGGCAGGCACTGTGGATGGCTCTGCCTGTTCCATGTGACTGATGGGATAACTGGAGTGCACGTCACAGAGAGAGCAGTGCAGGAATGTCAGGATGTGCAGCCAGTTCCCTTCACACCTGTTAGGATCCAAATCTGCTTCTGGAGTCAGAGCCTTGACAGTGATAACTGTAACATCCCATTCTCAGATCAGGGGGATTTCCAAAGTTATGCATATTTGCATTTATCTAGGAATTAAAAAGCAGATGAAAGTGGTGCACTGTGCCTAAACTACAAGCTGTCCATAATGGATTTGCATTCCTTGCGACTGATGCTGTACAAATCAATTATTCATGGTAGTGCATCTACAGCTTAAAAACAAGTGGACTTGTTGCTCTGTGGAGGTATTTTAATGGCATCTTCTCCCTCCTTTTCACTCCCTAGGTGAGGGAGCCACTGCCCACCTGGAATCTGGTGGTTTCATCCGGAGTGAACCGGGAGTTCCTTACCCCGACATTCAGTTCCACTTTCTTCCCTCCCAGGTGATTGACCACGGGCGGGTTGCTTCCACAATGGAAGCTTACCAGGTGAGTAGAAGAGAATGTTCTGGTAAGACTTTGTAGCCATTAGCAAGGAGGTTTATGCTCCATTATAAATGTTGGTAGTTTGGCTATATAATGAAAAATACTGTGTTCAGTATAATATGAAGTAGACTGCTTAACCTCCTTCATTGGGGAAAAAACGCAGCCTTATTATTTGATATTGCCACCAAACTTATGTTAGTTTTTATCTCTGGGAAAGAAGGACTGAATTAAGTATTCACTCTACTGAAGTGCCCTGGTGCTGTGGGTTAGGACATAATTTTGCAGTGGAACAAAAGTGTTCCACTGCAGTTTAGACAAAAGTTTAAGTGAAAATATATGGAAACACTCATTTACTCACTGGCACACATCCAAGCCCTTTTTTAGACTATCATCTTGATCCAAAACTGAGTACTAATTCTGGAGAACTGTCACTGAATGTACATGCTTTTCCTTGCTAGTCTGTTTTCTTCAGAGACATAATAATCTGGTCCAGTTGTTGATTGTATTAGAGTGCTCTGATAGTACTAAGTTGGAATGGTTGTATTTTAAATGAAAAGAGCATGTGAGTTCATGTGACAGGCATATTTGCTCCCTGCAATGGAATTACATATTTACAAAATAAATTATATAAAATGGAAAAACGTTCAATGGTATTTTCCAGTATCTCTGGTTAATGTTTATATTTGCTGAATTTGTAAAGTCCGTCTAAATTGCAAAAAAAAAAAAACAAAAAAACACCAGCCATGCTGAATTTGGAAGTAGACCTGGTGGGATTGTGTCGGGTCTTGCAGGTCCATGTGGGACCCATGAGGAGCACAAGTGTGGGCTGGCTGAAGCTGAAGAGTTCAGACCCAAAGGACCACCCCATCATTGAGCCCAACTACCTGTCAACAGGTAATTGCAGCCTCTCCTTGCTCTGTCAGCTTATTTACTGCCTGTTTCAGTACCTGATTTTTGTACCTACTCAACACCCATTCAGAAGTGCTAGTTGGTACATTGTTAATTATTTCTCATTTATAAAAGTCAACTAGTATGAAAAGAGGTGATTGTGCAAACCACTGTGTAAACTAGAAAGAATTTCCTGTTGGGGATGAAGTCAGAATTCTCAGTATCTGCTGTGTCTTGCTGTTTGTTTTGTCACCACCTCTCCTTGTGAAGGAATAATTTCTTTTGCTTCTTTGTGCTGAGACTATTTTTCTTTTCCTAGACAGTGGGCACAGAAAGATAAAGTGTAATTCCTCACAGTTCACATCTTTCCTTTTGGGCTTGTGCAATATAAGCAAGAGTTTTGTTCACACTGGATGTAAATATCTGTGACTTTAAAAAATATTCTGCTTTATCATGGCTTTCAGCAAGAAGTGAGAGACTTTCCTTTCAGCTTTTTTTCCACAATTCTGCTTTTTTTCTGTTTTGTATTCTGTATATACTGGTAAATTAAATGTGTACTTACAATTTTCTTATTTTCTCTCTATACAGAAAGAGATGTTTGGGAATTCCGCCAGTGTGTCAAGTTGACCAGAGAGATCTTTGCTCAGAAAGCTTTTGAAAAATTTCGTGGGCCTGAAATTCAACCAGGAAACCATGTTCAGTCTGACGAAGAAATAGATGCTTTCATAAGGCAGAAGGCTGATACTGCTTATCACCCCTCCTGCACCTGTAAAATGGGTCAGCCTTCAGACAGCACCGCTGTAGTGGATCCCCAGACAAAAGTAATTGGGGTTGAAAACTTGAGAGTAGTTGATGCTTCAATAATGCCCAGTGTTGTCACTGGAAACTTGAATGCCCCAACTATCATGATAGCAGAGAAAGCTGCAGATATAATTAAGGGCCTCCCATCACTTCAGGAGAAAAATGTTCCTGTATATAAGCCCAAGACCTTGGAAACACAGAGATAAATAAGTATGCTTATCCTTTCATATCATTTGCTATTTAGGCTTTCATCCTCATGTTGGTATCTCATACTGAATGTGCCAACGTGATAAATATCATGAAAAACAACATATCCTATTAAAGTAACTATGTATTTGAATAATTTTTTTGTATTAGACTACCTACTGGGTTTTTTTAATCAGCTGGTTTCAGTTCAGTTTTTAGAATCATAGAATATGCTGAATTTCATGGGACCAATCAGGATCATTAAGTCCAACTCCTGGCCCTGTGCAGAACACTCCAAGAATCACAAATTTAGTTAAATATGACCTTCTGTGGTAAATTAAAATTTTCTGTTGAAGAGAAGCTGTTTCTAAATGACAAGATGGTTGTACACATCAGCCAGAAATACCATGTGACTGCACGAGGAATGGAAGAGATTAATGTGGGCTATTTTGAAATGATTATGTTATTTGAAGAATTTTAACTGCTATTAGAATGTTACCCAGGAAAACAGCTAGTCAGTAATCACCAGATCCTGCAGAGAATGGTCAAACAAATGTAAGCACTTATGCAATTTCAAATTCAAGAGCTGAATTAGTTTGTATCAGAATTCATAGGAAAGGGAGGAACATGCATGTGCTCAGAGTTTGTCAAACATGACAAACATTTCTTTTATGAAAGGAATGCACAGTTTACAAATCCCACTCAAAGTTAGATTTCACTAAGCTCAGCAACCTCTAACTGTAGAACATTCAGGAAAAAGACATACAGTGTATTTATCAGAACTTATTTTTCTAAAAATGCAGAACTGGAGTTGAAATTTATAAAAATCTACTGGAAAATTGATATTTCTCTTTGTTTTGCTTTGTTGGGTTTTTTTTCACAAAATGCTTAGTAGAATTCTGCTCACAATTTAAGCTGATGTAGTTTTACCACTCTAGCAGGAAGAGATCTGCACTTTGTATAACATCCTTAAAGTGATTGGTCTTTGCTCAGGTGATTGTTTGCAGAAGCTATTTATCAGTAAATATTCTGAATGCTGCCTTGCTATCGCTCAAATTTTATTTAGAAAAATTACAACCAAACTATATTTAAAATGAAATGTTACTCAAAATAACGGTATAAGGTCAGATATTGATGATATGGGAAGAGGTCTTTTTAAATTAGAAGGCAAATATCATATTCAGTGAACCAATGCTATATTCTAGTTAGGACTTAAATCTATGCTTTTTTAATTTTCAGATGTGTAAGTTAAGAGACTTGAGCTTTCATGGCTGTTTTTGGTGTCAAACTAACTTTCAGGTACTGATTAAAAAAGAACTAAACAAGCTGAACTCACTGAAGGAAATTTATTCCATTGATTATTTTGTATTTATTAAATATTCAAAAGTAACTTCTGACTAAGCAGATGTCAAATCATAAAGTAAAATCTTCTGGAGCCTAAGATTGATCAAGACTTGTGGCAAAGAGAATAAACATATTTTCAGCAAAAAATTGGAATTTTACACAGTTTTGACAGGCTGTAGAAAACCTTGCTGACTCAGATGTTGGCCGGAGGGACAACTGCAGATGTTTAAGGCAGATATTTGTACCTGGTGCTGCTCTCTGTAAGGCACTGACTGGAAGCTCTGCTGTAGGAAAGGACTTCATTCCTTAGAGCATCTGCATAAACACAAACAAAACCACGGAAGATGGAAGATAACAGCAGTGAACTCTGCTCCAAAGGGAGACAGGTAAACCCTTTCTATGTATGTGATGCAGTCCTTTGAAATGAGGGGAAGAACAAGAATATTTCGCGTCATTGGTGATTGATTAGCTGAGTTAAGGAGACAATTCCTCTGGTGCAACTGTTTGAGAAAAGCATGGACTGTGTATTGTGTACCTCCTAATGGCAAATAATTCTTTCTCAGCACTTGCGCTTGTGAGATTTTTCTTTAAGGGTATTCAGTAAGTTCTAGTGTCGTTTGGAATACAATATTAAGTTTTAAAATACAAATTTTAAGTTATATATACTGGTGAGACTTACCACAGTCCTGTGCAGTTGAGAAGGGAGGCAGTTTGGCAAGATGAGACACTGAAGTTCCCGCATTTGCAGGTTTACAGTGTGGCTTTCCACTCCAGGCATGCAAGGTGGGAATTGTTATTATGCAGCTGCAGAGGATTAACTAGCCACTGGCTTACATAACTCACCACTGAACATGCACAGACCTCTCTGCTGTTATGCCAGGCTCCAAAAAGAGGAGTAAATAGCAAGGTTAGGTGTCCATGTGTCATGCTTAGGAGACATTGCTGCACCGAGAAATCAGATAATCAGGCATTTCTTTTGAAACATCATATTTTCTTGCAGTTCTAACCATCCACAGTCATCTTGCAGATTCCTCCTCTTCTAAACACTTGGACATCTTCATTGCTGTGAGCTGCTTTACTAATTCCAGCCTCACTGCTGTAGAACACTGAGGCTCCCTCATGAGGTTCCTGTGATGCATGCTGAAGGGTTTGTTGCCCTGGGGAAATCTTTAAGTAGCATCAATTTACCACTAATTTGTCCTGTGTTGTGCCTGGTTGCTGATATTGAATTCCCATTAAAAATTGTTCTGACTTCCAGCAGAGTCAAGTCTGCTAAAGGGTCCTTAGAACAGGTCTAGGTTATTCTAACCTATCCTGTGGAGCACTGGCAGTCTCACAGCTACAATTAACCATCTTTTACACCTTACTGGACTGCAGAACACAGGTTGTAATTCCACAGTTTTACCTATTTAACAAAATAATACAGTGTGAGTATTCCCAATTCTACCCAGATATAAATTCTATAAATATGCAGATAATATATTATGTGTTCAAAACCAGTGAACTGTAAAAGCTGTTTAATTCAAGAATTACTAGACCTGCCAGCATGGCTTGGACCAGCAATGGTACTGCAAGAGAGAACACCAGATTTCCATCTCCTTGGAAATGGCTTGCTGCAGATGCTCCAGGCAGTTGGAGGTCTCTGGCTGGGAACAATGAGATTAAGAAAGAAAAGTGACCAAAACCATTTCTTTTTTACACACATTTCAGTTCAAGTTATTTCAATATGAGAAGTGCTTTTAAAAGCAGCACAATACAACAGTTTTTGTAAAATTGCATTGTATTCAATTAATGTAAGATTTTTGTACACCACAACCTTAAAATCCTTGTCAAGTGCCTGCTGTCAATTACTCTGCAACCAAATTAGGCAATTGTAGGAACACTGGAAAAGTGGGCTTGGAATATGCATTCTCTATAAATAAGCATAAAAATGGATTTTGATGAATAATAAAAGCATAAATATACTAATTATATAATATATATATCATATATAGTCAAATAATAATAAAAGTAATTAATTTTTTTTATATTATAGTTAAAATGAAGATGGAGGACACAAGCATATCTTATTACATTATTAGAATTTTTAGTCTCAATTCTTCTGTGAGCCAAACTCCAAAAAAGGACACTGTTCAAATATGAATATATGTTATAGAATCATTTTTCAGTGAATTTACTTCACTATAGAATACTTACCAGTGCTTAATTCTTTACTAGTATTTTCTCTCATTAAATACATATATAAACAAATTTGGAGTCTCATAAAAGATGATTTAATTGTTGAGAGAACTTCTAGATTTTTTGTACTAATTACTATGATTGGTAGCATTCTAAGGGTGCCAATTACCACATAATTATGCATATATTGATTACTTGTTACCAATATTTCTGTATTAAAACCAAAGAAGTATTCTTTGAATCTCATACAAATGTTCTCCCCTAAGCCAAAAACTGTATAGAATATGGTCTGCAACTAAATTTCCTTCATTGTTTATTTTTGCAAGCAGTTCTCTCATAAAATTTCATATCTTCATTAAAGAGTGTCTCATCACACCACTAAAGGCTGAGGACAAAGTGCAGGAAAGCACAGTGAGGTCAGCATATTGTTTTCTGTCTCTTTGGAGAAATCACTAATTAAAAATCCTGTCACTCTGCTCAATCTGCTGATCCTGACGTGCTATCAAATGTCCATGCTGGACAAAATACAATTCTGATACTGTTTTCCTTTTTTTTTTTTTTTTTTTTTTTTTTAAGTTTCACGTCTGTTGCCTTGAAGGTGGTTATCAGAAGTGGCTTTACCACAGTAGGTAGAACTTTGCAATCTACTCATTGTTACTTCACAGGGATTGCTCCATTTTGGACTCCCAGATTTTGTTTCTGTGAGCTGGGAAAGTGTAACAAAGGGAGTACTGCTGGGTAACCTCCCCAAGAGCTTCCCAAGACAGCATGGAAAATTTATTTAGATGTTTGAGGGTATTTTATTCAAATTTCCCTAATCATTTCCATAGGTCTGTCTCTGGAGAAGTAGTAATCCCTTTTCCACATGAATACTCTGATTGTTTTATTTTTTTGTGGTTAATAGCAACCATTCATAAAGCACTTGCATGATGTGACACTGCAGACTGATACGTATTCCACACATTCCCTCCCCTTCTTATAACATTGCAAATTGAATTTAACCTTTGGAACTTCTTGGGGAAAAATATTAGTAAAAGGACTCCCAGGTATAATAAAATTATTACACAGTTTTATTTTGAAGAACATTTTGCATTTTTTTTAATACAAAATGATGTAGGTCAAGAAATAATTTACAAACCTTTAAGTTCTTATCCTGGCATTTGAAATAAGAACGATTTCAGAGGAAGTCTGTAAGCTATTCATAGGAAACTGTCATTATGTACAAAATGTTTATTGACATGTTTTAAACATCACATTTGTAAAAATGTGAACTGGATTGCTATCTAGCATAGGAACTACAGGTAAAACCTGATAAGATAACTTGTTAGAACAAGTCATTGTTATCCAGTGCTAACAAAATAGACAGTAGCTTCAGGGTGTTTTAATTATCCTCCAAGGTCATTTCAGCCTCAAAGACATTTCAGGGTTTTACTGCATTGTGAACAATATCGAAGCCCTCTCTTGATTGCATAAAAATAAATCTTTGAAATAGTATACA